GATATAAGGATTTTCATATCTAATTAAGATTTTCATATCAGGTTTTTAAGATATTAGGATTTCCAGTATCAGGGTTTGTTACGATTTTATTGGGGTTTTTATATTCATTAAGGATTTTCACATTTATTAGGATTTCCGTATTTATTAGGACTTTTATATTTATTAGGATTTTCATATTAGGATTTTATTTTTTTTAAAAAGTAGGATTTTCATGTTTAATTGATTTTTTTTTGGAAAAAAGTGCCAATTTCAGCCCCATACACAATGATAACATTTCCCTTTCTTTTTGCGATAATGTTTGGTGATTGTGGTCATGGATTAATCATGCTTTTATGTGCAATGTTTTTTATTTACCGAGAAAAGCAACTGGAAGCGGCGCGCATAAACGATGAGGTTGGTTTTAGTTGTTAAAAGATAACAGATTCGAGCTTGTGTCAGTATTTTGACGTTGTGCTCCGTCTCGCCATCGATGCAGCAACTGGCAGCTTTTCCACTCTTCTTGACTTTAAAGCTATCATATTCATGTAATGCTACGTACTTGTATAACATCAAAAAAGAATAATTGGCCAACGCACGGGCTGCCCGTGCGAAAATGCGTTTTTTGCATAGTTTCCCGCAGTTTTTAGCACCGGCTTTTTCGGCAAATGCTTCTAGCTATTAAGACTGGCCGCAAGAACTGTCAAGAAGCACCTCCTTAAAATTTCAGCCCTCTAGCTCTTCTGGTTCGCGAGTTATCAACTTACCCGAGAAAAATTTTGGCGGGCTCCTATGTGGGTACCACGCGGGTAGGACCGCCCATTTCGGGGATGGGGGCCCGTACGTGTATGTAGATTATGTCCCCAAACTTTCAACCCTGTAGCTTTTGCCGGTCTCGAGATGAAAAATCGGTACAGACAAACACACAGACACACACAGAGATAGCCTCTCGTTTTCTGCATTGCATAGCTGCAAAAAACGCATAAAAAATTAGAGTAATACTGGTGCGTTTTCGTTTAAAGCATTTACATAAATTCTTGTCTTTGCTTTCCTCAAGATTAATAGTTCCATTAAAGCTGGCCTTAGATTCGTCCGAAGGAAAAATTAAAGAAGGGAGGAGTGCTGGAGCCTACGTTTGGCGAATTTTACCAGCATTTTGCCCAGTCTTAGCAAATGTTAATAACTTGGCTTGCTAACAAAACAGAATATTTAGGAGACGCAGAGCCTAGTTTGTGCATTTTCTTTTTTTTTTTTTTTTTTTTTTTATT